TATTATGAATTCTATTAATATAATAGATTCATGATCCTTCTTCTAGAATCAATGGCAAATAGATTATCAATGTTCAATGTATCATCTTTAACATTCATAGCCTTTGTTTGAACTCCATTAATTTAATTTTGGAATATTGTTTTTTGGATAATGAGTGGTTAAAAAGTAAGGAGAATTTTTGGATTTATGTGTAATATTATTTTATGGAAAGAATGTTTGATTGGTTCAATTAAAATTTAATGGGGGTCAAACATGAGCATAAAAAGTTTGGATAAACTTCCGACATGATCAATTTCAGAAGATATCAAGAAGTAAACTTTCAATCTAAATACAATCAGCTTTAAAAATAAAAAATTGCCGGCAAAAGATTTTAAACTGAGCAAATATGGCTGATAAATTCCCAAATCTATATGCATTACTTGACCAAATGACTATGAAAAAAATCATATATTACACAAAATTAAATGATTATATGCCCCATCAAAACAGAACTTTCATGTATAGAGCGAATATTAGAATTAATAAAATATTATGCCTCTGAGTAATGAAATAATAAAAAAAAAAATCAACTCTCCATACACAGTGAATTTGTATAAGTAGAATGAAGGTCCCTTCTCATTTCACCTGCCAAATGAACTATAAAGCAATGCACCTTTTCCTCAATATTGTTGTGTTTCGTCCTGTCGATTTGCAGAGTCAAGTAATTATTTGTTGATGCACTGCGGAGTACTGAGTGATTGGCAAGAAACTAAGATAAATTTCAAAATCAATATTTTTAATTCTATAATTATTTTAATTTGATAAAAAAAAAAATAGAAGAGAAAATGCAAACGATAAATTTTAACCACGTGGAGAAATATTTAGTGTATATAAACAAATCAATCAAAGAAATCGACAATGCAACGTAATTTTCGACAATGAAACCATTGCCCCTCTAAACACTTCAAGAGGAGACTTTTCTAGTCAAGAAAAGATGCTTTGGCTTGCAAAGTCACATAAGAAACCGTACGAGCAAACGTGTGTTTATATAGTTCGTGGGTTGGAGTCGGTTAGACTACAATGAAACCATGGGATTGCATTTGCATTTGCATTTGCTGCGAGCCCAATTACTTGTGTCAATTCTGCTTATTTTTGTTTCAAGATCAGTTTCTACTCAATCAAATTTCCAAATAGCAAAGCCCAACTGTACGGATCATTGTGGAAATGTAAGTATTCCCTTCCCTTTCGGCAGGAGTGAAGGCTGTTACTTTAACGAATCATTCTTAGTCACTTGTAATGACACCCACTATAATCCTCCCGAACCATTCATTGGAGACTCGAGCATAAATATCACAAGCATATCCCTGGAGGGCCAATTGCGTGTCTTGCAATTCATAGCAAAAGACTGTTATTCTCGGAATGGCACCAGTGTGTTAAATATTGAACCCTCGATAACAGTGCCCAGTGGATTCATGGTCAATCCTACTGCCAATAAGTTCATTGTCGTTGGTTGTGATACTTACGCTTTTGCATCTGGGTACCGGGAGAACCGGAATTACTCGACAGGGTGTATTTCCCTGTGTCAAAACGAGGATGATCTGGTCGATGGCTCATGTACTGGTGTAGGCTGTTGCCAGATGCTTATCTCGAAACAGTTGCGGGGAGTTCAGGTGACATTGAATAGCTTTGATAATTTCACTCGTGTGTCGGACTTCGATAATTGCAGCTATGGTTTTGTAGCTGAGGAAAGTGCGTTCACTTTCTCCGCAAGTAGTCTTTCCAACCTGAAGAATGTGGAAATGCTTCCAATGGTGATTGACTGGGCAGTTGGAGAAGGAACTTGTGAGGAGGCTCGAAATAACATTTCTAGTTATGCATGTAAAAGTGAGAAGTCCAAGTGTTATGAACCCGATAATGGTTATGGGTATCGTTGTCGTTGCCAGGAAGGTTATGAAGGAAATCCATACCTCGATGATGGCTGTAAAGGTATGGCTATATTATCTTAAAAGTTCATAAATGATCTAGCACCATATTGTTCACTATATAATAGACAAGATTTTAACTTTGTTTTTCCTTCTTATTATTCTTATATTTGTTATGCAGACATTGATGAATGTAAGCATCAAAGTCTCAATAAATGTAAAAAGAAATGTGAGAACACACCAGGGGGGTATAAGTGTGTTTGCCCGAAAGGCTACCATGGAGATGGTAAAAAAGATGGACGAGGTTGCATTCGTGGTCAATCACTAATATTCAAACTTGTTCCAGGTTAGCACCACTGTTCCATGGGTGTAGGTTAGCCTTTTTCTCCCCTCCCCACCCCATCCCATCCCCTCCATTCGTTACATTTCACCCAGGATTTAGAATTATCTCCGTTGATGATCCATGTTTCAAGCTGGGT